GAAGAGGAAGAAATTTCAAATTATTTGAAAAATAATGAAGAGAACTTCCCTAATTTGGTGAAGGAAGTAGACATGCAAGTCCAGGAAACACAGAGAGTCCCAAACAAGATGGATGCAAAGAGGCCCACTCCAAAACTCATCAAAACTAGAATGCTAGAGGCTAAAGAGAAAGAGAGAAACTTAAAAGTGATAGGGGACTCAGGAGTTGGAAAATTTTAGTTTAAGATGAATAGTTAATAAGCCTACTAGGTAATGCATATGTGCATACGTTAAAGCTATATTCAGGAACTGCAGGTACAGCTCACTACTCCTGGGAAAGACAGCCGATCTCCTGTGCCAGCTGGAGACATTTGAGCCATTTTGTTCCAGAGAGAGACAGGTGAACCAGAGAGAGAGATGAGCACCCGCCCAGGGGGGACAGCTAACTGCCCAGGGTGAGAATGCTGCAGTTTTCAAAATCTAATTTTTCCTAAATTTCAAAACCATTCACCACATTTTGTTCTCTGTTATAAAAAGGCTGGCTTGAAAGGAAATGTACTGTTAGGGTACAAACATTGTCTTCTCAGGTTGCTGGTCATCTGAGTAAAGGGCCAATAAAGATTCAACCCCTGTCTCTGCTTATTGAGTTTGGTAGGCGACAGGTAGCACAAACACTGGCTTTTCTGGTTTCAAAAGCAGCAAGAGAAAAGCAGAGAGTTGCCTACAAAGGACTTTCCATGTGACTATCAATTGATTTCTCAAAGGAAACTTTGCAGTCAGGAGGGGGCTGTAAAGAATTATTCAAAGTCATGAAAAGCAAGGACTTACAACCTAGATTACTATATCCAGCAAAGCTATCATTTAGAATGGAAGGAGAGATAAAGTTGCTTCCTATACAAGATAAAGCTTAAGGAGTTAATCATTGCCAAGCCCATATTATATGAAATGTTAAAGGGACTTATTAAGAAAAAGGAGATCAAAACTATGAACATTAAAATGATAAGAAATTCACAACTATCTACAGCTAAAAAACAAAAACAAACTAAGCAAACAACTAGAATAGGAACAGAACCAGAGAAATGGAGATCATATGGAGGGTTATTAGCTGGTAGAGGGAAGATGGAAAATGGGGGGAAAGGTACAGGGGTTAAGAAGCATAAATGGGAGGTACAAAATAGACAGGGGGAGGTTAAGAATAGTATGGGAAATGGAGAAGCCAAAGAACTTATATGTGTGACCCATAAACATGAACTAAGTGGGGTTTGCTGTAGGAAATGGGGGTACTGAGAGGAGGGAAGCAAAGGGGCAAAAATTGGGACAACTGTAATAGTATAATCAATAAAAATACTTTAAACAGTATACAAAATATTACAGCGAAAGAACCGTGTCCATATAAGCATTTACATTTGTTGAGGTTGCTAGAATAATCAGTCTTTAACAAGGTTCTTATATAATGAGCCCATTTGTTGGCTATAATGAACACTTGTAGTATTCTAAATTGTTAAAAACGTTTGGCCCAAAAGATGAGGACTGAGGGCTAAATCAGTTTACTAATCATGTGTCAGAAATAGCACTGTGATGTGAAGTTTCATGAAGGGAATTCTATCCATGAGTTCATAGGACCACAATAACACAGATTCTGTATTTAAACACAAAATTATCAGTGATATTTCTGCTCCATAGCTCATTTCTCTTCTATAAATAGGGTCCTAACATTTTATTACAAACGAACCACCTGAGGACAAGATTATGTCTAAAGAAGGAGATAGCCTTCAGAGTTTGAGGGAGGGGAGAGAAATATACTGGTACTTTTTTTCATTTAGTCTTTTTATTTTAATATATTTTATTGATTATGCTATTAAAGTTGTCCCATTCCCCTCCCTTCACTCCCCTCCACCCTGTACACCCTCTCCCACCCACGTTCCCCCCATTTAGTTCATGTCCATGTGTCATACTTATAAGTTCTTGGCTTCTACATTTTCCATACTATTCTTACCCTCCCCATGTCTGTTTTCTACCTACCATCTATGCTACTTATTCTCTGTACCTTTCCCCCTCTCTCCCCCTCCCAATTCCCTGTTGATAACCCTCCATGTAATCTCCATTTCTGTGGTTCTGTTCCTGTTCTGGTTGTTTGCTTGGTTTGTTTTTGTTTAGGTGTGGTTGTTAATTATTGTGAGCTTGCTGTCATTTTATTATACATGTTTTTTATTTTATTTTTCCTAGATAAGTCCCCTTAACATTTCATATAGTAAGGCTTGGTGATGATGAACTCCTTTAATTTCACCTTATCTGAGAAGCGCTTTATCTGCCCTTCCATTCTAAATGAAAGCTTTGCTGAATAGAGCAATCTTGGATGTAGGTCGTTGCCTTTCATGACCTGGAGTACTTCATTCTAGCCCCTTCTTGCTCGTAAGGTCTCTTCTGAGAAATCAGCTGACAGTCTGATGGGAACTCCTTTGTAGGTGACTGTCCTCTTATCTTTTGCTGCTTCTAGGATTCTCTCCTTCATTTTAATCTTGGGTAATGTAATGATGATGTGCCTTGGTGTGTTCCTCCTTGGGTCTCACTTCTTTGGGACTCTCTGAGCTTCTTGGACTTCCTGGAAGTCTATTGCCTTTGCCAGATTGGGGAAGTTCTTCTTTATTACTTGTTCAAATAACTTTTTGACGTGTTGCTGTTCCTCTTCCCCTTCTGGTACCCCTATAATTCGGACATTTAAAGATGTCCTGGAGGTTCCTAAGCCTCTCCTCATTTTTTTGAATTTTTGTTTCTTCACTCTTTTCTGTTTGGTTGTTTGTTTCTTCCTTCTGGTCCACTCCATTGATTTGAGTCCCAGTTTCCTTCCCATCACTGTTGGTTCTCTGTACATTTTCTTTTATTTCACTTAGCATAGCCTTCATATTTTCATCTAATGCATGACCAAATTCAACCAATTCTGTGAGCATCCTGATAACTAGTGCTTTGAACTGTGCATCTGATAGGTTGGCTACCTCTTTGTCACTTAGTCATATTTTTTCTGCAACTTTGATCTGTTCTTTCATTTGGGCCATTTTTTATCTCATCGCACCTGTTACATATGAGGGGTGGAGCCTTAGATGTTCACCAGGGCAGGGTAACCCGGTAGCTGGGTTGTGATGCTGTATGTGGGGCAGGGGTCCCAGAGGGAACAATGGCACTTGCTCCACTCTTGTTGGATTTCAGTCACTTCCCCCGCTTCCTGCAAGCAGATTGGGCACTTCTCATGCTGATTCCTGTGTAGGTGGGTTTGTGTACATCCTGCGACCCTGTGGGTCTCTCCAACGAACTCTCCCAGTGATACTGGGAGTTTCTCCCTGCGTCTCAACCCCCACAGGTGTTTTTAGTCAGTGTTTTGAGGCTTTATTTCCTTGCACTGAGACCCTAGGTTGTGAGGTCTGTCTTGCTCCCCAGGTTTGCCTTGTTTATCTGTGTGTGAACGTGGGATGAGAGGTGCCTGGACGAGACACACCCCTCTACAATCTGCTGCCTTGCTGGGTCCACCTGCTGCTGCCATGAGTGTCTGGGTCTGCCAGCCACCCTGCTGCCAGCTGCCCTGACTGGAGCCCTCTCAGTCCCAGCTCTCTAACTCCGCCCCTCCTACTGGTCTAGATGAATGTGTCTACTTTAGCTCCTTGGTTGTCAGACTTCCATACAGTTCAATTTTCTGTCAGTATTGGTTTTTTCTTTGTTTTTAAATTGCTGTCCTTATCTTGGTTGTGCGAGGAGGCACAGTGTGTCTATGCCTCCATCTTGCCTGAAATTCTCCATTTAGTCTTTATGGTGGAAACATTAACAGTAGTCCCCAAACTCTGGAGAAGAGAAACAGGTATATAGGGAGTTAGATTCTTATATTTCTGTGCCAGCAATGTGATCGTACCAAGCTTTTAGTGTTTTTGTGACAGTCCGCTCATCGCCTTTCCAGGAGAGTTACTGAATTAATTTCCACAGAGAGCATATGATTTTCTTCTTGACAAGTGATTTTTTCTTCTCATAAATTTACATTATCAATCTCATTTTCTCTCAGAGAGATTTTTAGTTCAGATCCAGGTAAAAACCTCAGCTCAGCTGTGGACCTTTGGAGAGTTGAATTACCCTTGCTAAGCCATAGTGTCTACTTCAGGGGTATTGTGAAAATTAGTAGAAATGACAGAAAAATGTCAAACAGGTCCAGGCACATAGGAAGCTTTGCAATACATGTTAGACTGTCATTATTGTTTAAGGAATTCATCAGGTTGACTCTAGAAAGGAGAAATTCCCTCTTTGTCCTTGCAGTACAAAAACGCTTGAGGATTCAAGTTTTCCAACTATAATTCAGAAGAGCCTGTATGGCCATGAAACCATGTTTCTACTCCTCTGGTCATTTTCCATCCTGGACTCTTTTTTTTTTTTCCGTGGGAGTGCTCATACCAATTTGGGGGGCAATTTCATAGACAAGATTGGGCTGACTTCATCAGGAACAGCTTTATTAATTGTATACTTTTTGAAGTTATATTGATAGTGGAAAAGTAGAGTGGAAAGGGGCCAGACTTTGTTTTAGTTTTGTGACGTGGAAGGTCCTAAATGAGATAGGATTGGAGATGAGAAAAGGATGAATAATATGGTCCCCTTTGCCTCAGAGAGCTGAATTTGCAAATGGTTTAGCAGATGTAAGCTAAGACAAGAAGGAAAAGATACCAGACCATAATATTCTAGAATATTATAATCTACAGGTAGATATTTTTTATTTTTGAGTGTAGAGCATTATGAGAGAAAATTGTACAAAAATTGTTCTATGAGCAGAGTTGCAATTATTATTATATATGATACAATTAAATATATTTATTTATTGTCTCTTTGCTTCTACTATTGATAGAATGTAAGGATATTGTTGACATTTACACTATATTGTAAATACCTAAAACAAAAAACCCATGCAGTAAATATTTATTGAGCAAATTAAATTATAAGCAGGGCTTAGGAATTATTTTTCTACCAGAGATTCATTCAGAAACTGTAGCTAAGTGCTCACTTTGGCAGCACATGTACTAAAACTGGAACAATACAGAGAAGATTGGCACAAGGTTCTGCACAAGGATGACATGCAAATTTGTGAAGAATTTCATATTTTTACAAACTAGATACACTGATCTGAACAGTATTAAAATGTTAAAAAATTTTTAAAAACGCTGTTCTCAGGGTTGCAATTGACATTCTGAAAACTTAAAGAACCAACTAGCCAGAAGATTCCTGCCTGTTTAAGCAGAGTGAGTCATGGGGTGTCTCCAAATTAGAACATCTTAGGAGAAAGAGGAAATCTTAAGGAAACAATAAGAAATAAAAGAAATTTTTGAAAAGTATCCAGTGATTCAACCATGTAGTAGTAGAGAATGACCTTTGCTTTAGAAAACACAAATCTGTTGAAGTGATTGTGGCTTTGGTAGTAACAATATAAGTCTGCAAGCGCTGGACCTAGACCACAATATGGTGGTTATTGAAGTGCCTTGTCCATTTAAAGGCTTATTTCCCTGCCTTCCCTTGAAGTTCTAGCATAAAGCTTTCTCTTTGCAGGATAGTCTGTGTGCTCAAATGAAGCTTTGCCTCTGCAGATATCACAGGTGTTCCCCATGCCCCCACTTACAATGAAAAAAAGGGGAAAACACTGTTCTGTCTTGGAGATAGATAGTCTTCCAGAGAGAACCTCTGGTGGCTGCAAGCCAATTTCTTGATATTTCTGAAACTGGAATCTGTTATAACTGGAGAATGCCAAAAGATAATGGGCTCCTGCTGCTCACTATACACTCAGATAAAATGCATGGAGGTGTCTTGGCCAAGCAGACACTGCTCTTCATAAAACACCAGACTTCTGACCACACATTGTAGTAATTCCATGACTAGCTACTCATGGCCATGGCTCTGTGGGTTTTTTTTTTTTACCCCCTTCAAAGGTCTTGATCGGAAGGAACTTTGCATTTGAAAAGAGTGTAATATAGGTGGCTTCAAAGTGAGACTTGGGTTTCTGTTACTTCTTTGGCATTCCGCACCCAGTTCTCCCATCTGATCTGTCTTGTGGTTCCAGTCAGTGAACAATCAAAAATGGTGAGAGCAGCATCATGCTTGGGTGTACCTAGTACAACATCAAGTTCAAAAGTAAAATCATGACCTTGTCTTCTTATTCGTGAAATTTGTGCTCAGCTGTTTCAAATCTCCTGTGTCCTAGTTAGTAGTGGCAAATTAGAAATCACTGAATCCTTTCCCCATAGTGGTTCGAGACAGCTAATTTATAACTGAATATAAGTGACAATGGGAATGGTATACAATTCATACCACTTTGGCTGAAAGTGGCAGAAACAGGCGAGCTTAAACAAAAAAGGAACTTAGTTCATGTCACTGAAAGTCAGGCAGAGCTATATTTAGGTTGGTATTCAGGTGATGTCAGGAACCTGTTTCTCTGTCTCTGACCTTCCTTTTGTGTTGGGTGCATGCTTTTTACCACATGGCAGCAAGATAGCCCCAGGTTTACATGGGCCTAACAGTCTAAGATGCTAGGAAATGTATGTTTGTCTCTGCAGCACAGCAAAAGTCCCCAAGTGGCCTCTGAAAGTCTTCAGGTGAACCACAAGGCCCATCCCAGAGGTGTGGTTGTAGCCTGGGGCTAGAGTACTCTAATCAGATCTGGGTGTGTACCTGACCTTGGGGTTGGGAGTGAGGCAGACTGCACTGAGTCTTCAGGACAGAGACAGGCCTACTGTGGAAGAGGGGAGAGGATTTTTCTTAAAGGAAGGAGTGCTGGGAAAACAAAACACCATGTGCCCTAGAAATGAGGTTTTCCATAGATAGTTTGTGTGGGGCAGCAGTGTAACCACATCCTGATGGCAACCTTGGGGCCTCTATTATTTCTAGTGTCTACAGTGAGTGTGTGTCAGATGGTTCAGCCCATGACGTAAACCTCTGTGTTCATCTAGGTCCCAGAAAGTAGCAGCAGAGGAACAAGAAATGGGTAGGTCATAATCATTCACTTCTTGGACTGAGAAGAACTCGATGTGAAGGGTGCTCTTCTGGAGCAGTAGTGGGAGGGATGGCCAAGCATAACAGATGCAGTCTAGTCCAGAGTATCAGTTACATTCCCAGCTCTGGCTGTTAGAGGAGGAAGCAGTGACAGGTGGAGGTTTTGCACATGATTTCAGGCAGAGGCCTTTTAGTTAACACCTACTTATCCTTCAGAACTCAGCTCAAATACCACTTCCCCAGAGAAGTCTCCCCTGGACCTGCCATCACTGACCTTTCACAGTATCATGTAATCCTATATAAATAAACTTATAATTACCGGACTGGTTCCTGCACTCAGAGGTAAGCTCCATGGTGTTGGACCTCATCAGGTTTACCTACTACTGAATACCCAGTATGTTGCCCAGTGCCTAGCACATTAATAATCACACAATGACTTTTTTTAGATGATGAGTGCTATAGAGGTTCAAATAATAGCAATGGATTTTATTATGAAAATGTAACAAACTATATTCTCTTCTTGTGTCCTATAGTTTGATCTTTTCTTTTATTTCCTCATCTGGCTGAATTAATGAAGTGCTATTTTAGGGAGCCCAGGTAACCCAAAAGAATCTGCAGATAATCAGGAGCCCGTTTTACTGTATATGATTGACCGATTTTTCCCAAAGCATTTGAAATAAATATATATGACTTAAATGGGAAAAAAGACCTACCTGGAATATAATTGAGAACCATAGCAATTTTTAGGCTTAATGGTAATTCTTGGGAAGTAACCTGGACATGCTACTTGTGAATATTATGGTTAACCTTGGTTTCTGTAGGGGTAACTTTTTCACAAGTACCCCCCCCCCCCGTGTGCCACAGATGAGAGTAAACATGACTGAGACAGGGTGCGATCTGTTTGGGAAAGAGAGGTGGCCAGTTTCCTAGAGGAAAAAGGCCTTGAGCAGTTGCTAGTTTCTCAGGGGAAAAATTCGTTGAGCTCACTCCTCCAGGGGCTTTTTTGGGGGTTGTAATACACAGGAATACTGGGCAGCAAGGATCAAACAGCAGATAGCATTTCAAAGAAATCTGAGGGCTTAGTTTGAGTCAGAGTCTGTCAGAAACAGAGTTTTAGGGTTTCTTGCTCGAACCCTTAACATATGAATGAAAGCACTCTTAGCAGAGCAGATTTCACAGGTTTATCAGGAATTTTTTGTGATGCCAGATTTTTCCCTAGGACATGCTCTAACAAGGGAAGGAACTGCACCCCTCCCCGTCAGATATTCAGGCTTAAGGAGATTAGAGGCAGGAAGCTCTTCTCCCAGAGGACATGAGGACTTGGACTTTGTCAAAGCTGGGGGGCAACAGTCCATTGCTCCCTCTTTGTCGCAGCCCCTCCCCTCAGGTCCTTCCATGATGGCCTCCCAAGTTGTCATGTCTGGCCTAGGTTGCCCCTCCTCTGAGGGGTCTTACCTGTCAAGGACTTTCGACCACACTTTGGGGGCATGGAGGAAACTGAGGCAGCATTTGCTACCAGAGACAAGCTTTGTCTCCTGTGGCTTGCATTCCAGAGGTCACTCATTCATCATTAGCCACAGTGGGTAGAGAGTTACACTTCCTGAAACCAGGTAGAGAGGTTCACAACAGGTTTCTTCTTGCAACCTCTAATTGTGTGGAATGGAAGTCAGTTTAGTAAAACAAAAAATGAAGGCTCAGCTCCCACTTTGTTTAAAACTTGTTGGATGATAATTTCAAGACTAAAATATTGTGAGTATGTGGATGTACATACATTGTGTCAATCCTCTGGCCTCCCGTGTAGTCCTTCACCATGACTGTGCCACTTCTCCCAGGCATAGTAAATATGGTTTACATGTCAGCATCCTCTGGTACAAGCAACCAAAAGGTAGGGATTACTCATTTATTTGAATGAATCAAAAGTATTTGATAAAATTTCTGTCATTTTAAAAATGGGTTCAGTAGGTGGCAAAAGTTTTCTGAAGCCTTTTGTTAAATAGCTTTGAAGTATAAAGAAAGAAAACCCACTGGAGAAAGTATGTTTTAAACCTGGTTTTTTTTTTTTGGTAGTACATTTTTAGATATTCATTGTGCTATGTTTAATTTGATTTGCCTGGTCCCACTGGGCACTGCAGTAACTCAGATTCTGGTTTGAAGTCCATTCCCTATCTTTTTTTCCTGTTATCTTATTCCCCCCCCCCTCTGGTTACTGTCAGTTCCCAATTTCAGTGTCTCTGGTTATATTTTGCTTGCTTATTTCTTTTGTTCTTAGGTTCCACTTATAGATAAGATCACGTGGTATTTGTCTTTTACCACCTGGCTTATTTCACTTAGTGTAAAGCTTTCCAGTTCCATCCATGCTGTTGCAAAGGGGAGGAGCTCCTTCTTTCTTTCTGCTGCATAGTATTCCATTGTGTAAATGTACCATACTTTTTTGATCCACTCATTTACTGATGGCCACCAAGGTTGCTTCCAGCACTTGGCTCTTGCATATTGTGCTGCTATGAATATTGGGGTGCATATTAGTGTTTCAGAATTCTTAGGGTATAATTGTAGCAGTGGAATTGCTGGGTCAAAGGCAGTTCCATTTTTAGTTTTCTGAGGAAATTCCATACTGTTTTCCACAGAGGCTGCAACAGTCCACATTTTCAATAATAATGTACTAAACTTCTCTTTTATCCACACAACCTTGCCAGTGTTTGTTGTTTTGTTTATAATGGCCATATGCTGTGAAGTGGTATCTCATTATGGTTTTAATTTGCATCTCTCTGATGCCTAGTGATGCTGAACATCCTTTCATATGTATCTGGGCCCTCTGTATGTCCTCCTTAGCAAAGTATCTATTCAGGTCTTTCGCCCATTTTTTAATTGTATTGTGTTTCTTCCTGGAGTGGAGTCATGCGAGTTCTTTATATATTTTGGAGATCAAACCCTTGTCTAAGTTATCACTGGCAAATATATTTTCCCCTAAGTTTCGTTCTCTTTTCATTTTTCTGATGTTTTCTTTAGCCATGCAGAAGTTTTTAAAAAAATTATTAAGTCCCATTTGTTTATATTTTTCATTATGTCCCTTGCTCTAGGGGACACGTTCATCAAAATATTGCTGTAGAGAATATCTGAGATTTTC